AAGGCTCGTAGTGTATATATATAGAGTATTCATTTTTTACAATATTTACACACCTCGAACGCGAAACCAAGAGGATGGGCCACAGAATAAATAACAGTGGGCTTTACTCACGACTTGTCAAGGTCATGCCACCGACTCTCATATCCGGTATATTATTATATTTATAACGTACATGTCTTTTTCCAATCTAGTCTAAAAACTTATATAACTATTGTAGTTTAAATTGGATAAAGATTTCATTATTTGTTAGCAATTGTTTAATGAAAATGCTTTTAATATTCATTAGAAAAGCTAGACAATCTTTAAACTAGCCAAGGTAGAGCTCCGCAGTCGCACTACCGAACTGCAAACGTTACGATAACAACGGGTCGATTTCTATTTGGACGCTGATAAGCTATACCAATACAATGTCAAGCCACACGGATTTTCGATCGAAGCACACGGACATTATTTTGAGAAAATGGCGTCTAAAGATTTCATACTAAATCTTATTAAATTTCTTTGCAAAAGTATGTATCCACCGGTTCTTTTCCATATTTGATAAAAGGAGTAATGGATTAAAAGTAGATTGTTATCATAAAAAAGAAATAGCTGCTACATTTTTTCAAAAAAAAAAAATAGATTATTGCGTATTGAAAAATGTGAAACGTACTATAATATTCGAAAGAGGAAATTAAGGAATTTAATTCTATTTAATTAAAGTAAATATATTTTAAATAAGTATTATAAATGAATGTTGAAAAAAGTTCATCACATATTTTAAATAAAAGTCGTAAATAATTTATTTTAATTGATATGAAAATACAAGAAAGCTAACTTTTTAAACAAGACATTATACCTTATTTCAAAAACACCAAACATATTAACAGATTATACCATGTGTTTTTTAAACTGTAACTAATAATAACAAAAATAAGTCAGTGTAAAAAACTTGGTGTGTCTTCTGACTAGCTCTATCATTTTTAGCTTAGTAACTGTGTATGTATCTATCTACACATTTTATTCAGTCGCATGTAGAATCACTGACTTAATATTATGTAAAACTTATCTTATAATCGCTTTAATTAATATAAACACGAAACGACAACAGATTTAAGTAGTTAGTCGAGAAAGTGTTTAACGTTCATACAAATTTTCTTCTATACCAAAATCAACAAAATTACCCAAGACATCAGCATCCTCAGTAAAATCACCCGACGCAAGGTTTCTTAAGAAACTATAAAATCCTTTAGCATCTCTTTGAATGAGCTTTAACAAATCAATATATTAAAGATATTAATAGTTAATTAGCAACCATCCGCTCAATTAAATACAATGATGTGTCTTATCTAGATTGAAGAGCACCTCCCGCCCTCCCTCAATTGTGGGATGTGATGGGATTAGTGGTGACGGAATTAGTGCACGCAATTGAGGGAGGGCGGGAGGTGCTCTTCAATCTAGATAAGACACATCATTGTATTTAATTAAGCGGATGGTTGCAAATAAACTATTGATATCTTTACATAGGATTTCCGCAAAGTAACGCCTGATTCTATCAACTAAATCAATATATAATTTTTGCAGCTGATAGTTCACGCCAATTCGGGTATAAAATACGAAGATAGAATAGGAAATTCTAATTTTGTTTTCAACTCTTTCCACTTTTTGAAATGTCTATCACCGGAGGTAGCTCTTCGAGTTTTGATTTCATGATAAGTTTCGATGGTACATCACGACGTAATTCTATTTCAAAAAATCTAAGTCATGATATTTTTTGTTTATCTACATCAGATTTTCGGTAAGTGATACAAATTCGTATAGGTGTTACCGATTTAAATTCTTATTTTAGACTTGACTAACATTTTTTCCAGCGGCGGCAATTTTCCGTCATCTGTCTGTCAATCTTTGACGGTGTAAAATGTGTCAAAAGATTCAGCATCATTTAGATGCTCTTTTTTTTATAAAAGAGGGGGCAAACGAACGTGCGGCTTACCGGATGGTAAGTGTAGACCGCCGCCCATGAACAACTGAAACACCAGGGAAATTGCTGGAGTGTTGTCGGTCTTTTAAAAAGGAGTAAGCTAGATTTTTGAAGATTCACAACCCTCCGTGGCACACATGAAGCGGAGTTTAAACGTTGAACACGTGGGGTCCACGCAGACCCCACCCGTTTTAGCGCCGGTCACGCTGCTGAATCGCATCTTTGCAGCTTACTTTGTTTATGGAACCTCCAAAGAAGATAATAGGGTACCTATAGTTAAATATAAGAGTGTAAAATCACTTCATTGGAAGTCACAGGACGTAAGTTTACGGTTTTTTGCTCAGTTGTTCTATGAGTAGAACCGTCCTCGTAGACGAATGACACTTGAAACTAGCCAGTACCTCTGTTCAGAATACCAGAATTTTATACCAAATCTGGTGAATCACACTGTAACGCTTCCCCCCCCTCTCTATATAAAAATAATATTATAATAAATATAATTAGGTCCCCTTTATAATAAAACTATATATATTTGACCAGGATAAATAAGATATGTTTTGGTCTTTCTAAATGATCTTTCTAAAGGTTTAATAATAGGCCGTTTGTAATATTTTGGCGTGATCGTCTTAGTTAGGACCCTTATTTACGTTGTGTTTGTTTAGTAACTTAGTTCTTTTAGGTGTCTTTTGGAAGAATGAATATTCACTAGAGCAATTGAAAGCTGTTGCCTTATAAGCTAAGTGAACCCCGTTCACGAAGACAGGGCTCGAGAAAGGTTAAGAACATAAAACGTCCTTATTCCACTTGTATCGGGTTTACATTATTAATTTATTATTAATTATCCCTTCCCGCTCAAAAAAGGCTCAAAATATATTTATACAAAATACCCGATACAAGGGCTTCGCTCTCCTACATTTATTTAAAAAAATGTAGGGGAGGCACGCCACACGCCGTGCGCGGTGAGCGCCAACCATTTTGATGCACTCCCCCCGAAGGGAACGTTAATTCGGGAACTGGACCGTAGTCCACAGCCCACCGCCCACCAACAAGTTGCCTTCAATCATTCAAAGGTGGGAAAGTTACAGAGATATATTATTATGTTATATAAAACATCATGGAGCGCAGACAGTCTGCAGCCCCGTAATGAAGGGACCCGACTTGGGCAAAGCTACTTAGGTGTCAGTCAAACCAAGACGCAGAGAGCGCCATTGAGAATAGCGTCCCACCAAACAACCATCGCAGAGACGCAATGCTGCAGAACGCAACAAGCATCAATACGACTATCGTCGGCTTACACCATCCCAAGGTCCCCCATACAACCCAGTAGACATCACCACCCGCATACCTCCGTCGACCAGAACCACAAGAGTGCGTCGAATCAGGCGCAGCACACCCGCAGATCCATCACAAGACGCAATACCGCAAGTAGCAGTAAGCATCATTGCAACTATCATACAGATGGCGCCCCCTCACAACACACCCACATGATCCCTATCGACTTGGTAACAAAGTTTGTATGTTATAAAAAATATCACCAACGTATCATAGTAGCACGCTACTAAGACGCCAATGAACAAAACTCCACGTATCATAGCGCTAATGCACTAAGACATGAAGTTGAGTATGCCTCTTACACTTAAAAGTGCTACCAAACACACTCATCATCCCAATCCGAAAGATAGACGACGCATCGCTATGCGCTACGACGTCGCCCACAAACGGTATGGGTGTGCGATGTCCACGGGAAAGCCGTATTGCTACAACAAACCCGCTTACCACCAGCACTAAGATGATATGTCTAGGACACATCGCTTAGCGAGTCCAAGTTTACCTCGGACCAATTGCTCGTGAAGCAGCACACACGCCACCATAATATTCCTTTTCAAGTCCCTAATAAGGACTAGTCATTTTGCTACAGTACTAGAAGCAGTCGGTCACCCGACCACCCCATACAATGCTTATGCATCAAGGAGACCTTCAATAGTAATGCTTTTGTATCATAGACCTTACTTTCATAAGTCATGCATATATAGGATTCGAACTCACGACCCTACTATTGTAATGCAAATTCATCATGGAGACCTTCTATAGTATTGCTTTTGTATCATAGACCTTACTTTCATAAGTCATTCATATATAGGATTCGAACCCACGACCCTACTATTGTAATGCATATTAATCATAGAGACCTTCTATGGTATTGCTTTTGTATCATTGAGTTTATTATCATAAGTCCCTAATATAGGACTAGTCATTGTGCTACAGTACTTCAGGCAGTCGGGCTCCCGACCACCCCATATATATGTACAATTGCAGGTATGTATCTCCGGCAGCTCCTCTATACAAGACATCTATACATGAACCCCTTCCATAACTTAGGAAACTTTTCTTTTATACGTGAACTCCTTCCACACCTTAGGAAATTTCTTTTATACATGAACTCCTTCCAAGACTTAAACAATTTTTAACAAATTTTCTAATTATCTTATAAATGTTGGTTATCTTTATTTTTATTATATTTTTGACTTGTATTTCTATTATTTATCTTATTTTAAATATTTTTTCAAGTTTTTAATAAATTTATTTATTATGGAAGACAATATTTTGCCTTTAATTTACTATGTTATTGGTCTAATGTCTGAAATGTATTTATATTAACTTTATGGTTATTAATGTAATTTTATTGTTTATTATATATCTTTTAAGACTATTTTAGACGCCCCTTTATATTGAATTTAACTATTAATAATAATATTGGGCCGTCACAACACGTTTCTGAAAAAGGAGTGACAAAATATAAAAAAAAAACAGATAGAATGAAAACATATTTTATTGACACCAATAACATCGAGAAAATCAACACAATAAATTCGAACTTTAAATAAAAAGAGATAAAGTAACTTTTTAGTTCTAAAATGTTAGTGCTTCTATCTCTATGGTATCAGTGGGTCCAGTGAATCTCCCTAAACTTAGAGCATTTGCCATTCTTCTGCTGATTTCTTTATTAGTGTGGAGCACTATCGTCTGAACGAGATCTTCACTAAAAATAGTTTGAAAATAGACAGCGCAGTGTTACATGCTCGAGCATCCCTTTTGCACATGGAAGATGAGTAATGATGTTTCTTGCTGGAGTTCTACTAGTTCTCTTTCCCATAGGGGTCTTCGACCAGATGGTCTCTCCGTCTTTTCCCAGAAGAAATTCTTTATCGTCATCGGAGTCCGAATCTGACGGAATCTGGGGTAGAAATGGATCTGCTTCATCATCATCTTCAGCAAAAAACTCATTGGCGACGTTGTCGTCATTTGGCAAAGGGGCATCGTCCTCTTCACTTTCTTCGGTGGACCACTCTTCGATTAGTTCTTCTCTCTTCTGCTGCTCCAGCTCAGCCCTAAGCCATTCCTCGTTTGAATATCCAGCCATCTTCCTATAAGAATGCGAAAAAATGGCTTATTCCCAAAAAATATTGAAAATAAAGGTGGGGAATGGATTACATTTTTGTTACAATGAAGTACACGTGGGGTCCATATGGACCCCAATCACGTTTTTCAAGAAATAAAACCGAAATTATTGTGGATGACTTACCTTGAGGACCGAAGCGCTCTGCCCCGCGTCTCGAGCAATACTGAGTGGGAAGGTACTCGAGGCGACGGCTCCTAGATGCTAGGAGGCGCCACTATAGAAGAAAAATTGTGCGTCTGGGGTACGCGTAAACCCCACGTGTGCTTTGAAGGGCTAAGTTACATGGGTCCAGAAAACTCACCGATAGTAAACGATTCCACAAAGTAGTGCGAGGAAGAATACTCCTAGTAAAACGCACAGTGGTGGACCGCCAAGCATCCAGGTGATGTGGATAGTATCGTAAGTTTTGTCGCGATGCGCGTTGGTGAAATCTGGCGGCTGCAATTAATTCAAACAATCACTCAGAGTACTCCCCGTGATAAATGCGGCGGAAAATAGAATGAAATACTTCTGTTTTGTCCGCATGAATAAGCCCAAAGTACCATCCGAGTTACATCACGTTTTATATGCGCGCTAATAAACTATTTTAATCAAGATCCCATCTATCGGGTACCATGCCCAGCTTCGTGCTCTAGCCAAATATGCAAATATCTTTTGCCATTAGTACCACAACGTATACCTAATTTGTGAAGTTTCAGTTAGCACTTACGAGTATAATAAACAATGCTTGTCAGTGGTCACGGTAAACAGGGCGTCTTTTCTAAATCAAAGTTCAGTGTTTATTGTGAAACAGTTTTAACAGCAGCCAAGGCCTTTTCCTATCTTCTTGTGTGGGTCGTTATTATTATTAACGATAGACGATAAGAAAAGGTTAATTATATCCAAAGAGCTTGAGGGAATTATTTCCACATCATTAGGCTTTGGCACAGTATTTATTTCTGAATGCTCGAGTAACTCAATTATTAGTGAAATACAATCTATTGTAAGCTGAACTACCGTATACGGTAATGTATAACTAAACAGACCACTGCGTCTGAAATTTTGTAATTCTATAGAACAATCTAAATCTCGATCAGATCTAACATTAGGTACAGGAATATCTTTAGGTTTGAGTTGACATGATCAGAATTTTTAATTAAATCTTTTGCATTGGAGTTCGCAAGATTGACTGGTAATTGACCATTTGATTTTGACGGTAACATCTTTCTACAACTAAATAAGGAAAAAGTTAGTGATAGTGGTGAAGGTCTATAAAATAATACCTAAATAACTCAATATAACTCAAGCGTGACACCTTTTTGTATGGGAAATATCAGATCCTTGAATAATAGTGATTTTTCCAGTATAATTTCAAGATACTTAAAATATAAAATATCTCTAGTAAAAATTAACACATTCAGCAATAATATGTTAAGCATCGTAAACTGCGCTATAAGTTTTACTTAAAATTCCTTATGTGTTTAGCAACAATATGTTATACTTCATAGTACGATACGCAGTATTGTATTGTATTTAGCAATAATCTATCAAGTGGGTTATCTTACCTATTTATTACAAAAGTAACAATAAGTTAACTTATTAGGACCAAATTACATTATTTTAGTATAAGAAAAAAAACTTTACCTTTGACATGTAACTGTGTTATTATATCATTTATTAGTTTTCTCATTTATATCAGCAACCTAACTTAAAAATAAATAACCTAAAATAAATGTCTTACCGTGAAGAATTCAGCGTGTATTACGTACAATTCACTACAACAACGTTTTATAAAACCTATCAAGCAATTACAATGGGAATATTCGTCATTTTTTAAATTTTTACGTGGACTTCGTAGAACTGAATGACATTTTGCAACACAGTGTAGAGTCTCATAACATAACATCTTTATGGTGACGACAGGTAGAGCTACTTTGAATGTCGACTGTGTTAAGGAGCTTGTCATGACGGCGTATTGACAATTAACGTAATATGTGATTTACCATTTTATTTATGACATAAATTATTTTTTCCATATTTATTTGATTTAAGTGACTTAAAACTCTTTTGCATAATGTTTATTAAGTGACGCATTATAAAAACACATCAATATCTCCGAATTTAACTTTCGGTGGGTTGTTGTGACACATTATTGCTTACCAGCATCCATTTATACGATAGTTTTCTTGAGTTTATTTTTGACCTACATACCTTGTGGGAATTTGTAATAAATATAAAAATAAAAAATGTGCGTTTGAAAAGAATCACATATCTTGAATAGATAAATGTAAAAGTTTATTCGACAGGCGTAGAGAGTGGTGGCGACATAAGAGTTTCCATCACACATTTCACCATGTATGTGTACGAGGCAACTATGGGAAATATGTAAAAGGCAACTATGTAGAAACCTTATGGTCTCTATTCAATAGCGGTACTTTATCACCTATCATGTGCTACTAGTACTACTCGTATAACTACCTCTAGTAGCCAAACTGGCGACGCGACGTGGAGCAGCGTGCAGAAGAAGAATAACAAAGAAACAAACAATATATCTTATGGTTATTGGATGCTGCAATAAACCTCTAGATCTGTTTTATATTCAATAGACGTACTTTATCACCTATCATGTGCTACTAGTACTATACCTACCTCTAGTAGCCAAACTGGCGACGCGACGTGGAGCAGCGTGCAGAAGAAGAATAACAAAGAAACAAACAATATATCTTATGGTTATTGGATGCTGCAATAAACCTCTAGATCTGTTTTATATTCAATAGCCGTACTTTATCACCTACCATGTGCTACTAGTACTATACCTACCTCTAGTAGCCAAACTGGCGACGCGACGTGGAGCAGCGTGCAGAAGAAGAATAACAAAGAAACAAACAATATATCTTATGGTTATTGGATGCTGCAATAAACCTCTAGATCTGTTTTATATTCAATAGCCGTACTTTATCACCTATCATGTGCTACTAGAACTATACCTACTTCTAGTAGCCAAACTGGCGACGCGACGTAGAGCAGCGTGCAGAAGAAGAATAACAAAGAAACAAACAATATATCTTATGGTTATTGGATGCTGCAATAAACCTCTAGATCTGTTTTATATTCAATAGCCGTACTTTATCACCTATCATGTGCTACTAGTACTATACCTACCTCTAGTAGCCAAACTGGCGACGCGACGTGGAGCAGCGTGCAGAAGAAGAATAACAAAGAAACAAACAATATATCTTATGGTTATTGGATGCTGCAATAAACCTCTAGATCTGTTTTATATTCAATAGCCGTACTTTATCACCTATCATGTGCTACTAGTACTATACCTACTTCTAGTAGCCAAACTGGCGACGCGACGTGGAGCAGCGTGCAGAAGAAGAATAACAAAGAAACAAACAATATATCTTATGGTTATTGGATGCTGCAATAAACCTCTAGATCTGTTTTATATTCAACAGCCGTACTTTATCACCTATCATGTGCTACTAGTACTATACCTACCTCTAGTAGCCAAACTGGCGACGCGACGTGGAGCAGCGTGCAGAAGAAGAATAACAAAGAAACAAACAATATATCTTATGGTTATTGGATGCTGCAATAAACCTCTAGATCTGTTTTATATTAAAAATCATTATATGTCTTGCCATCCCTGAGGACGAAGATGAAATACCTATTTATCAGTTACAAGTCTTTCAGATTCTGGTCAGTCACAACAACCTTATACGTGGTAGAGCCACGCTGCAGCTACATTATAGTTATAGCACTAATGGGTCGGCTCCACCGGAGAAGGACCACACTCTCACAATATACCATCTTAAAATAGCAGTATTAAGCGTGTTTTGTATAGTGAGTGTAGAGATCCGGAGACCCTTTTTTACTTGAAACGAGGCATTCCATCTTAGTCACAGGAGTGAAAACGCATCTGCGTTTTGATTCTTAATCGAGGATAAATGTAGATTCTATAAAAATAAATGCTACTATTTTATTCTGTTATTCTAAAAGAAAGTGTTCCTTCCCCAGTTTAGTCAACTAATAATCATTACGAAGAGTGCCCACAGGAACTGCATGATTTAATCACCTCTCTACAGGTTTGTTATCGACATACCGCGCTTTTAAATTGGCTTGCTTCATCGTTGTTATAAGGACCGCAAAAGAGTGAAATAATTTGCCAGACAATATTTTGCCTGTCTTTCCATCAAATTACAATGGGGATGTCTTAAAGGCAAAAGTGACTTGGTTTTTGTTTAGCTGTCACGGTGCTTAGCCATCTTTGGCCGTATTACCATTTACTATCGGGTAAGATAGTAAACCAAGCACTGGCTTATCGTGCTGCAGCCAAGACAGTAATTACATTATAATTATCTACTTTAAATCCTATCCTTAGGTACATACAATATTTTGGTTCTTATTTATGATGATACCCGATTTATTTAAGCTCAAGCCGTATAAATTTAAATTTTTTTAACGTCTTAAAACCAGGATTAAATGCATATCGTTAAGGATATAAAACATGACATAAGCACATCATTAAAAAACTACTTACGTATCTTATGAGATAGATGGTACTTTAAAAAAACTATGTGATTTCGGATTGTCCCTTTTAAGTTGAATCTCGTTACATAGATTTATGAGCGAGCCACACCATTTTAGTACTCAGCCGCGCATCTGCATTTTGATCTTTAATCGAGGATAAATGTAGATACTCGTATCTATGAGTCACAATATCTACTTACCATCAGGTGGAGGACTGTGCTCTTTTGTCATCCTTATTCTATAATTTAATAAAAACTAAATTATGAACAAGACATCTTTAGTAAAACTTCGTTAAGTAGATACTATTATATATTCAATGGTAAAACTGAGTAATAAATAGACTTAAATATTATTTATATAGTGTATGTGGGCAGGACGGTTTAAAATAGTCGCTATAAATGGCGTACTTCCTTTGCTGAGGTGGGCTTTGATTGTCATCAAAATGGAAGTCATACGACCCAATTCTATGTAGTTAAAGGAACTGCAAGCGCATGTACATATATCAAATGTCTTTATACTTATTACAGAGCGTAACCTCGAAACTGAATACGCAACTTTACGTAACCACTTTAGTCATTAAGTCAAAATGGCTAACAAAGTTAAACGCGTAGTACCTATATAAGAGAAATATCTTTGGTCAGTCTCG